GTAACACAGCTTCACAGAGTTAAACAAATGTAACATAAACAAAAGTAATACTGCCCGGCAGTGGTGGCATACACCTTTAATCCCAGCACTCAGGAGGCAGAGGCAGGTGGATCTCTGTGAGTTTGAGACCAGCCTGGTCTACAGAGTGAGATCCAGGACAGACACCAAAGCTACACAGAGAAACCCTGTCTCGAAAAACAAAACAAAACAAAAAAGTAATACCCCTTAAAATAATATTCTACAACACAGACACACATGCAGACAAAATACCAATGCAAATAAAAAATTAATTAATTAAAAAAAAGGATAGACCCTTGGGATCCCAAGATGGCTCAGAGAGTGCTTGTGACCAAGTCTGTTGACCTGACTTTGATCCTGGGACCCATACAGCAGAAGCAGGGACCTAAGCCCCACAAGTGTCCTCTGATCTTTAAGTGCACGTCATGGAATGTGTGTGTGTGTGTGTGTGTGTGTGCGCGCGCACGCGCGCATGTGCATGCATGCCACATGCATGCAACATAACATGCTCAAATTATTTTAAAAGATGTTTTTAACAAAGTTGTGAGTTAGTGCTAACTGTCCCTATGGGTGTCCATGATGGCTGTTAATTGACATGGAAAGACCTAGTACCACTGGCTGAGTTTAGTCTTGGACTGTGTGAAAGGAGACAGTGGGCTGAGCACAGGCAGGCATTCGCCTGGCTTTTGACTGCCTGTCAGGTGGCTTCACATTCCCTCACAGTTGAGAGCTGATACAAACTCTTCCTCCTCTACGTTGCTTCTGTTGGGGTATCTCATCACAGCAATAGGTCACAAAACCAAAACATGCCCTTCGCTTTTACGGTGCCAGACCCAGAACCTGGGGCCTTGGTGCAAGCTCTCTGCCACTGAGCTGCACCCCAGCCCTGTTTCCAGTTTCCTTGTTTGGAATTCTGGCGGAAGCAATGTCACACAGCTTTTGAGACCATTTTATAGGAGACAAGACAGCAGCTTTGGGGTTCTCTTGGGACTCTCTGAGAACTCGGCCTCCCATGCTGTCTGGGAGCCCTACGAAGCCTACAGTCTACGGGACCCAACCCTCAGCTTCCAAGCCTGGACGGGTTTTCAGCTAACACAGCCAACAACAAACAATCTGCTAATCATGAGTCTGGACCCTTTTAGACGTGGCTTCTCTAGCCCCTCCCACCTCAAGTCAATTTACTAGGGCTAATGCAACATGGACCTAAGGGGAGCCGTCCCCAGTGAGTCCTGCCCAATCTGCGCAGTACTGACTTCTCCTTTTCTCTCATCTTCAATATTTCTCTCTAGATAGATAGATAGATAGATAGACCTATGTGTGTGTGCAGCATGCTTGTGGAGGTCGGAAAACAACACTGAATGCCAGTCCTCAGATGTAGATGTAGATATAGATATAGATATAGATATAGATATAGATATAGATATAGATATAGGTATCTGTATTGGATATTGAACCTAGGGCTTTATGTGTCTTATCCTAAACCCCAAGCCAACTTTATTTCCTGAACTAAGTTTTTTTTTTTGTTGGAGGAGATTTAATCACTAATTCTACTAATCAACTTTGGAGCAGCCTGCCTGATAAAAACCTGTGAATCAGAAAGACAGATGCTTTCAAAGTTGGAGCGGGGTGGGGGGGTGGGGGGGTGTTTTATTTTTAATTTATTTATTTGCTTCGGGTTTGTTTTGTTTTTGCGACAGTGTCTCATGTAGCCCAGTCTGGCCTCAAACTTGCTAATCGCTGAGGATGACCTTTGGAATTGTAAGCATGTATCGCCATGCCTTGTTTACGCAATGCTAGGAAATGAACCCCTGGTTTGTGCATGCTAGGCTCTACCAACTGAGTAGAACTCCAGACCTAGAAGGTTTTCTATTACAAGTTAATTTCACATTAATTTTATCTAGTTGATTAAAATGGTTCAATGGTCTCAAGGACAATTTCCAGATTGCAGTTTCAGAGTAAAGTCCTATGTCTTGGGTCCTCCTTTAGTCCAGGGAAACTCAGCTCAGCTCCATGAGGAAGAAGTGGGATGTGAAAGGAGGCCAGGTGTGTCTGCTTGGTAAGTCCTGTCAGGAGAGAGCAGTATTGGAAGAAACAGTTTCAACTTTGAACTAGAAGGCAAAGGCGCTAACCATGCAAAGACCAGGGGAAACTAGCACAGGAAGAGGGGATGCCCCAGTGAAAAGTTCTGGAAGGAGAGAGCTAAAAAACTAACACAAAAATGAGGTTGTAGGGCAAGAGGGATGGCTTGGTGGTGAAGAGCGCTCGCTGCTCTTATTAATGACCGACAACCACCGATAACTCCAGGGATTCTGATGCCCACTTCTGACCTCCATGGGCACCGCACACATGTAGTGAGCACACATCCATTGAGGCAAAACACTCATACACATAAAACAAAATAAATAAATCTTTTTTAAAAAATAGGGTAGTTGAGGTTAATAAGTTGGAAGAGACAGAATGTAATTCTGTCAGGAAAGTAGGAAGAAACCAAGTCAAGAAGGATTGATTGGGTGCGAGCCTGGGGGTGAGGGAAGCTTATTGGTAAATTTCACGCTTAGCTTTGGCAATCCTATCTCCAGCAATGCCCACTCCCCTTACACACACACACACACACACACACACACACACACACACACAGCACGAACGAAGAAAGAAGTGTGCACTGAAGGAAGGAAGGAGGGTTGAGAGAGAGAGGATGAGAATATTGGGGGATCATGAGCAGAAAAGAGAAGATGTGAATTTCAGGGTTTGGGGTTCAGATGTTGTGCTGTGGTTTTGTGTGTCAACTTGACACAAGCTGGAGTTATCAGAGAGGAAAGAGCCTCAGCTAAGAAAATGCCTCAATGAGACCCGCTGTGAGGCATTTTCTCAATTAGTGATGAACAGGGGAGGCCCAGTCCATGGTGGGTGGTGCCACCCTGGGCTGCTGGTCCTGGGTTCTATAAGAAAGCAGGCTGAGCAAGTCAGGGGAAGTAAGCCAATGAGCAGCACCACCCCATGGCCTCTTTATCAGCTCCTGCCTCCAGGTTTCAGCCCTCTTGAGTTCCTGTCCTGACTTCCTCCAGGGATGGACTATGACCTGGAAGTGTAAGGCAAATAAACCCTTTCCTCCCCGACTTGCTTTTTTGTCGTGGTGTTTCATCGCAGCAATGTAACCCTAACTAAGACAGGTGGCAGGGCTGTGTGTGTGCAGCATGCTTGTGGAGGTCGGAAAACAACAGTGAATGCCAGTCCTCAGGCACTTCCCACCTTTTGTTTGGGATGTCCTCTGTCATTGGCCTGGAAACTCCCCTCATAGAACAGGCTATTGCTCACAAACCAAGCTCTTTACCTATGGAGCCCCTTCTTG